CCTATTCCTGGCACTAACATGATGCACTCTCTTAAATGCAAAGAAATGTGTCAGAAGTGGGATTTGAACCCACGCCTCCAGGAGAGACTGCGATGTGAACGCAGCGCCTTAGACCGCTCGGCCATCCTGACTTCCATGAGCATTGTGTGAGATGTCTTCGCAAACGGTATGCTCAAAGGGCGACTAACGCTTGATTGAAGGACGATGGACTATTTGAACATAGCGAGTAGCAAAATCCTGCACTTTTTCTGCCAAATTATGGGTTGAGTTTAACATTATAAGCTTTGAATGATTTTATTCTAGAGAACCACTCAACATGTCCCACAGATGTTGGCTAGTTGACCATAGACTCTCTTGTTCTGCCTCAAATGACACCTTTTCCTGGCACAAACATGATGCACTTTTTTGAATGCAAAGTAATCTGTCAGAAGTGGGATTCGAACCAACGCCTCCAGGAGAGACTGCGATCTTAACGCAGACCCTTAGACCGCTCGGCCATTCTGACTTAGATGAGCGTAGAGTGAGATGCGTCCCCATGCGGTATGCTCAAAGGGCGATCAACTCGACAATTCAAGAAGGAAAATAGAGTATTTGAACATAGCAAGAAGCAAAATTCAGTAGGTTTTCTGCAAATTACGGGTTGAGTTTGCATTCCAGCCATGGCCCCCTTATAAATTGTTACCATAATAAGCTTTGAATGATTTTATTCTGGAGTACCACTGAACATGTCGGCAACCTTGACGATAGACTCTTTTGTTCTGCTTTAAATGACATAAACTGCACCTTTTCCTGGCACTAACATGATGCACTCTCTTAAATGCAAAGAAATGTGTCAGAAGTGGGATTTGAACCCACGCCTCCAGGGGAGACTGCGGCCTAAACGCAGCGCCTTAGACCACTCGGCCATCCTGACTTCCTTCACCAGATGGTGAGATGCCTTTGTGTGCGGTATGCTTGAAGGGCAAAGAACACTCGACAATTCACTAAGGACTATGCCAAACGTTTGCTCATAGTGACGGGCAAAAGTTAGCACATTTTCTGCAAAGCGTGTTTGTTTCCATGCCA